GTGTGTGTGTGTGTGTGTGTATGCAGGTTTGCTTACCCATACTCTGCGCATGAATTGACGGCAACAGCCACACGATGAGAATGAAGAAAATGAACGGGTTTATCGCAATCAAGGCCACACCACGGATCACCCGCCTTATCAGCCTGATGGCTTGCTTCAGCTGATCGATCCGCGCTTGCCTCTCTTCCTGACTGTCCAGTTGCTCGGCGTACGCCTCCAGCAGCCGCTGCAGCTCTTCCTCCATCTTCGCCTGCACATGGGAGCCAGCCACACCTCATTGCGTTCGTCTGCGGAATGCATCTGTCTCTCTGGCTGTCCGTGTGTGCAGGGCGCCGTCGTACCTGCCGCTTCATGTTCTTCTTTCGGTGCTTCCCAGGCCTCCTTCTGCTCTCGCGGCCGACGGACGGCTGCCGATGTTGCAGAGCAGCTTGCTGGCGTCTGATGCGCCACCGTGTGATGCTTGATGGGAGGGCCGTTTCCAGCCTCATGAGCAATGCATGGGTGGGAATGCGGGACAGCCTGTTCATGAAGATGGACACACCGAAGAGGACTGCGAATGAGAGAGACAATGCCGCCACTGCGATGACGTGTAATGCTTCATCTGGGTTGTTCATCGCATGGATTGCCACCGGCAGTCCGAAAAGCCCGCACGTTGCGCCGTAGAATAACCACATCACCGCGACAACAGCGAACCGGCAGCCAGGCAGGACGCATCCAAACAGCACCACCATCACAACGCACAAAACAACGAGCTGCTTGAGCCATCGCCGTCGCCTTTCACTCACCCACGCAGACGCCGATAATGATACGTTTGACATGTTTCTTACTGACAACCGTCAAGGTTCAGCAACGACAAATCAAGGAGGTCCACAATCCATCGCAAATACCACTCAGAAAGACAGGAGACATCTGTCTCTCTCGTCGATCTCCTATATCTCCCTCTTCTCTCTTCTCTTCTCTCCTCTTCTCTCCTCTCCTCTCCGCTCGTCTCGCCTGTCTACCTGTCTCCTGTCTACTCTCATCAACACGAATCACTCCATCCATCCATCCAACCATCCATCCATCCATTCATTCTTCCGGCTGTCAGCTGTCTTAACAAGTGCCTCCTTCCTCTCTCCCACACCAAGTCTCATGACGACCCGCGGCTGCACACCCTCATCCAAGCACCAGCGCCTCAACGATGGCACTCCTGTCGACCGCGACTCGCACGGAAAAAAGAGCAACTGGTACTATCGCAATGGTGGCTGTGATTACTGCCAGGGGCAGCACAATACCGAATACTGCACGAAGCACTGGTACCAAGGCTGCCTCAGCAAGACCTTCTTCACCAACAATGCCCTGGCCACCGACATCAAGCCCATCCCGAACGAGGTCGCCCGCACGTCGGTAAGCCTGCAGAGACACACACACACACACACACACATCCACCCCTGTTACCTGTGAAGATGACGGATGCAGCCATCCTGTACGCCGCCAAGCTCGCCCAAAAAGCCAAAGGCCCTGATGCGTTCTGGTGCTGCCCTGATGTGCCGCTGGAGGTCATCACCGGCCCCGTGCTCCTCTTTGACCCGCACAGCACCAACAAGACCAAAATCGTCAACAATGTTGTCACCAAAATCATCTGCGGCAAGGCGAACCTTCGAGGCACCAACTTCGACGACGACGGCAGAGACCACTGTGTTATTCTAGTGGACGCCCTTCCCAAGACAGAATCCCTCACCATCCACAAGCTACGCAAGGATCTGGTCCGCAAAAGAACACACACACACACACACAACATACATACATACCTCAAACGTGATTATGCTTGTGTGTGTTACCAGTTTGAGGGCCCACACGTCGTCACAAAGGCCTCCGAAGCTTGGCCGTCGCTGCTCATGAACTGCGACAGTCATGGCTGTGAGGGTGAGGTGGTCGTCCACTAGAAGAATCCGAACAACAAGGACCCCAACGGCAATCAGGTCCCCTGTGCACACCACGACCACCATTATGTGTCTATCGTCCCCCTCCTGTCTGTCTGCAGGTGATGATTCGCTGCGCGTACCATCGTTTCATGAACCCCGACGACAAGCAAAAACCAGCCACGCCAACGACTTCGACTATCCCCTGTGTGTGACCGGCCTGACACGCAACGCCGCCCTTTACCTCGACTCCTTTGCTGCCACCTTTGCGTATACGAAACGAGGCAAATACGTTGACCTGTACAAGCCATTCGACCGTAAGCACACCATGACTCACACTCACTTCAACCATGACAGCCTCGTCTTCTCTTACCCTGCCTGTACGCAGTGGCCATCTATGCCGCCGACCGCCACTGCAACACCAAGACCGACTTCTCAGCAACGATTCTCAAGCACGCCCTCGCCTACGCCATCAGTGATCCCGATGTCAAGCGCCTCGCCGATGACAAGCTCGGCAAGGACGACGCTGGCGAGTACATCATCACCGACATCGCCAAAGTCGACGCCTT